AGAAAACACTCACGGAACGGAGGAAATTAACTGCAGAATAAAAGCAGGTAATGGACGCCTTTATGCAATGCCAAACCTCCTAAAATCTAAAGTAATATTAAGACCTACAAAAATTAATATATACAAAACTATAATAGAACCTTTAGTGATGTATGGTTGTGAAGGTTCGAGCTAATGGTGTCGTTCGTGTCTTCGAATCCGCAGCTACGAAGATCTAGAAGGTATTTGATAAAGGCACGGTGTTGCCGAAATAGCTGTCATAAACCATGAGACAGTTATAAAGGAATATTGTGCAATCATCACAAAGACTCACCCAGGATTGTAATCGATCTAGTAGTTATATTGTTTTGCAAAAATGTACCCAAAAACTAGTGGTCGTAGAAAAATACATGCATTTATTCAGGGGTCCGTTTATTAAACTTTCGATCCGATAGTGCCTAAAGGGACTCGTGGCTGAAACGACGTTTATAAAACTTATTGCATAATAAGTTATTATTTACTTACCTTTAAAATTTAAACGGCATAATGGAGTCCGCACTAGTAAAGAAAAATAATTATCCGTATTAGTGCGGAAAATTTTAATTTGCACGTTAACTATTATGAAATATCTGAATGAAATTTTGAAATGATTTGAAGAGAGTTTGCAATCGTACCTTACACCTCTTTTGATGGGTACGCTGCTGGTTAATTTATCTTCTATCCCTGTGGATGCCGTTTGCCACCAACAAAAATTTTCAATGATATTGATATAACATCGGTGCACTCCCCACCCCTAAAACGATTTTATCGTCTCTGTCTGCCTTACCGGTTGGAAAGGTTTGTCGTAGTTTTGAAGCAGTACATTAAGCCTAAGCAACGCATCCATCCAAACGAAAACCACATTGTTCTTGTCCTGCTAGTCATTAGATACTGTGAGTACGTCTTAGATATAGGAAGATTAGGACAAATCCCTTCGTAAGATTCCTAAACAATATCCCCTATTTCTTTTCTACTCTGTTATAGTTAAAGAGATTTTGTTTGTAGTGATTCTATTTCTTCTGGATCTAAAATTCGTTTCTTATTCTTTGTTCGGCTTAGGTCCAGTTACGTCTTTTATCATATGTTGTTGGGGTCAGAAATTGGATCCGCTTTTTTTTTGCATATTTATGCCCGTTTTAGTTGCTTTTGATAAATTACGGTCCTGTTAGGCTTTTTCTATATATTGTATATTCTGATATAACCAGACTTTTCCTACAAACAAATGAAGTGATTATTCGAAAAACAAAATTCCGCATTTATTCGCACATTTATAGAACTGGTGTGCTTCATTAAATCTCCGCTTAATAAAATCGCTCCAGAGGTGGCCACTGCATCTAGCAGTTTAAAACGGCCGGACGGGTTTAGTGAAATCTCCCTGTGGTCAGTTTGAAAGTATATTTCTCGACTCGATTTGTCTAAACTTTTTGATTATATTATATGTTACACTAACATAAATTTTTCCATTTTTGTAGGGAAAATCTATAGCTCCCATAGTTTTTGCGTTAAAAAATTTCAATATGTTATTTTTCCTGAGCCAATTTAAATAAGAAATAAACATATTTTAACCAAAATATTCAGATAGAGTATTTTTTATAGGAACCTAATGCACTGGAAATAGACTGAAAATTGGTAGCAGTTTTATGCAAAAACTTCCAATGGAAACCATTATCTTATGCTGCGCTCCTTATAAAACCGGGGTGTTTCATTTGAAATAAGAAAGCTCTTCCGGCAAAACCCGAAAGAGCAATTCATTTATATAAAATCCCCAAAATTTCAAATTTAGCCATTTTTTTTTGATAGCTTGGCTAGTAATTTTATAGACACCTAGTACAGCTTCTAAGTATAAAGTTCTTTTGGTATCCATCTGAAGGCAACTGAAAATAGTTAACCAGTTTAAACGCTCTGAAAGTGTAGTGAACGTGATTACAAGAAAAAAAATTGTTTCGAGAACAGACGCGCATTGTCATAAGCTTTTAACAGTTTTTTTTTTGGATTGATCAACAGAACAAAAGATTCATATTGGGGGGAATGCTCCTCTGTCAACATTAGTAGCTGCATCTCGTAACTTATTTAACCTTAGTGTTATATGTAGGCTTTCTAGTCTGAGTCTTGTGAATAAAACTTTGCTTCGGATGCAGCGACTACTGCAGAACAGCTTTTGTCGACCTTAGAATACTAACTTATATAGACGAAAATTTATAATGGGTGAAAGTGAAGATCTGTATAAAACCCATTGGAACATTGATCAACGCCGTAGCAGATACTGAGATGATTTCATTTCAGTCTATTGTCGCTCTCGAAAAATTTTAAGAAAAAGTGTTGCTTCATAAATGTTTGCTTGTCTAGTGATCTGTCCAAGTAATATCTGATTTTTTTGTCATGATCAGTTTTTATGATCTCTTTAAGAACTTAAAGATAGTCTCACGAACAAACAGTAGCAATTGTGCATTGCATTCCATTGATTGCTGATATATGATTGATTGTCAACTACTTTTTGATTTCTTATTTCACTCAGAAGCTCAGGTTATCTGGTTATCACTGGAGTGTTTTGGCTCAACAACCGACTCTCTGATGTGGATTTCAACCATTCGATCTCTAAGTACTCTTATGACGAAGTTTCTGTGGCGCTTCGGTTGTCATCTACTTTTGGTTAGTTATCACATATAGTAAATTTCAATCAAATCACTTATAAAATTCTTTTTTAATCTGTTTAATGATTAATTACCTAGCAGGAGTTCGTAGAGGAATCTTTCCTTTTTCGTTAGATATTCTAGTGTAAACCACACGTATTTCAGGGTTTTTCATTATCTTGATGCAATTTTCGTCCATAAGCAAGTCACAATATACCTGTAGAACGATAATTTCTCTCACCAGATTATATCTGTAATTGAAGCCCTTGTTGTGGATAACCTAGATATTTTGCTGGAAAAATCGCGTCCTTACTATGTGGAAGTTTAAGTTTCGCTAGTTTGTAACGTTAGACCAAGGAACTGCTAATTACGGTGAAATTTAGAGTGTAAAACAAAGTTACTTTTGGGTGTAATAAATTTCACAATTCTGGATATTTAAATTTCAATGGGGATTTCTTTTTGAATAAGATCTGATCAAAAAATAAATTTTATTTAAATTCAATTAACTAACTAACTGTAACTTTTTGCATTTCTTTGTCGACTTTGGATTTTCAACCCGCGGTGGAAAGCATCATCGTTTCCTTATGGATTGGTGTGGTTATTTTTTTCGTAAATCGCTTCTCGTACACAAGAATGTAACATAGCGAGAAATATGGATAGTATATTATGCAATAGTATATTATGCAACAAGTGTGATATACGGCATTTGAGTCACGGGTTTATTTGACACGATCGAAGCGAGTGTTTAATAAACGAGTGCTAAACAACACGAATACATTCACTGACATGACCGTCAAAATTGACAAACGTTAAAATTCAAGCCGTGTGGTAAAATCTACGAAAACATCCTATTGCTCCCAAGCCCGTACGATAATATAACGGAAATGTCCGCGGTGGCTCGGATCAGTGGACAAGAAACTTACGTGGTAAAGTGATGCTTCCCGTACGCTAAATCGGTGTATAATTGGATATTTTACAGAAGGGAGTAAAAAAAGTTCTTTGAGACGTTGGATGAATCACCGAGTCAACTCCACACGTCTTCGCCATTTTATTTCATATATAGCATTGCTATGAAAATATGACAATTTTTTGGAATTCCATTTTTCTTACATTACAATATTAAAATAAATAATAGGGAAATTTTACAAATGTAATTTGTAAAATAAACTTTAGTAGTAACCATAGAAGCACTGAAAGTGCTTGAGTGTGGTTTTAGGACTTTAGTAACTCAGCAATTGTCATAGTGGAGCAATTATCTCATAATCGGTGTTCGTCGAATTTGTGTTAGTTATTTTATAATTTTTTGACGTCTTGCTAATTTTTGCCGTACACAACAAAACAGTGTCGTATGCAAAGCTAAGTATTATACGCTTTAGTTCAAAACTTAGGATATCATTTATGTAAGTCATTGAAAGAAAAGGTCCCAGGACTGTTTGTGCACTTTCTTCACTGGTTATAAGTTCCATATTTTTTAAATTTTATCAGAGGCATCTAGTGACAAACGGATGTCGAAAGCTTTAGATATATCCACAAACAAACAAAACTTAATCGCCTCTCGCGCTCCTTATCTGAAAGCGCACTCTAAATATGGCAATATATATATATATATATATATATATATATATATATATATATATATATATATATATATATATATATATATATATATATATATATATATATATATATATTTTTTTTAAAGGTCCATACTTTTATCAACTGTTCTTGAGCTTTGAAAAAACTGACAGCAGTGAAATTGGTTCAAAAGCCCTGGTTATCAAAAAAGTCAATACAGTTTAGATCTCGTGAACTATTTCTTATATAGCGCCGCTTTTCATATTTGTGTTTTTTGCGATTCTGACTGTGTGACTCCGCTTAGACTTTGCATTGATTTTTCTAGACAAATAAGTTTATCTTTACAGAGTGGTACTATTTTCTTGGCCTAGCATCATGTTCCAGGATTGTCCATCTTTTTCATATTCTTCGACAAAAGATCAAAATTTACATTGACATCCAGTATAACGAAAAGAGATTTTTATTACTGATTCGTGAGACCTTATACCCCTGCAAGCTATAGCTAGTCAATATGCCATTCAGTTTATTTGCTCATCTATTTTACGATGTTTATCATCAAAGCTAACACCTCTGCGACCAACTAGCGCCGTATGTACCCAATTATTATCCAATAAAATCTTTCCGCGAGACCTACGATACGTATTTTGAAATCCGAGTTTCATAACTGACGTGGTTATGATTTTATGGATTTTCACTCAATACATTGATTCTTTTTAGTCTTTGTTATCATTAGCCGAATGAGTCGCAATATAATACTGAATCGCTTAGCGTGGTTACCTGCTGCGCTTTTGACGAAGTCTTCGTGGCATTTCGTCCTGTTTTGAAATGAAGACGGCGTAATGCCGACGTGGCAGTAGAAATGAGGTCGTCGGGTGGTCGGGGGGATTTCGGGGGGCCCGACTGCGAATTGACGGTCATCTTGGGTTTCGGGCTGGAGGGGCAGTGATTGTTGGGTTGTATTGGGCGGCTGCTGCTAGCGCTGGTTAAGCAGTCGTCTTCGTGTTGACAACTCTGCGAAAAAAAACTGGAAATAAGCAAATATTCCATTTTTTACGAAAGTTTTATTCTTAATATTTATATATAGGAACATGATACATGATTTGAAGAGGTTTGTAATTCTTTTTCAGAATAGTTGATAATATGTAGAGTGTGCCGTTTGAAAAAATGAAATATTTGTTTCTAGAAGTATAATCTAAGATTTTGAGCTCCTCTATGTATTAAAACTACTTTAATTATTCATTATTGTAAATGAATTTCAATTGCAACAGTTTTAATTTGAACTATATTTAGAACAAATTTCTCGAAAACCGCTAAAGATGGATTTATAGAGAAATACAAAAATAAACAGAAATGAATGGCGGAATGGAAAATCCAATATTATACAAGGTGACCCTCTTAAACAAAGTTGATGCTACAATTTTGAAGAAGCGGTATCGATGTAACTCTGAAAATATATTAGATTGACAGTTGGCCCTCGCTTATGCAGACCACCAAATTTTCACAATGGTCTTAAGTTTGTTTTCAGTAAGGGCAACGAGATACGATATAAGGGACGCGGGCGGTTCTAGAAACTTGAAAAAAAATTATAAAGTGAATCAACCCAGAGCAATTATTTTAGAGATTCTGAAATGACCATCAGAGGGTGTGATTGTTATCTTGAGTTTTAAAAATCTGTTTCTACAATTTTTTTAAATATTAACCGTGGTTGAAGTGATCACTTTGCACAAGCTGAGACAAATTCAAATTAATTTTGTTTAATGTTGTTTGCTCTATTTCTGTAAGAAAAGGGATGAGAATATTGGAATATTTTCTTAAATGAATGTCCACATCTCCAAAAAGGCTTAACGCATTTTAATAAACTTGGAGTTTCTAGAAAGCGCTTTCTTTGACTGCCACGAAGTGGTATTTTCCTTTCTACGGCAGTTATTAATGTCTAATTATCCTGAATTTAACAAATATAATCTAATTTATTATTTAATACTTTTTTACGATACCTTCGAAAGGCACCCATTTACCCCGCAACTGACATTACTACGTTTCGACTTGCTTAACCTATTTCAAATATTTACTATTAATTCTTAATTAAAAATTAGCCTTAATCACTAATTGACGTATTTCGAACGAAAGGTATTGTAATAGTAAAAGATAAAAACATTTTATTTTGATTTTAAATATCATTTGGCATACTAAATATTAAATTAGCATTTTATTTGGTAAACAAATCGTAAACTGGAAATTTCTCGAAAAATGCATCTTTTTGCTGCGTTAAGTTGTTTTTTCTACTCCCGTCTGTAAAATAACTAATTACAGACCGATCTAGCGTGCGGGAAGCGTCACTTTACCACGTCAGTTTTGGTTTCCCTCGGCGTTTAACTCACTCGTTTATTAAGCACTTGCTCCGCTCGTGTCAAATAAACGCCGTTTACCACACTTGTTGCATGATATACTATTAATCATATTTTGGATTAAGATAAAGAAATTGAAGTGTGATTTTCACTGCGTTGTTGGACTAGCTCAGTCCAATCATAGCAATGATTCTTTTTCAAGATTTTTTTTTGTGATGTCAGAAAACGCCAGCTGGCGGCATGGTAAGCGATCGGAATCACGTCACTCATATCCCGGTTGAGACTCTAGGAGAAGCCCTTTTTAACGATTTAAAGTTTATTAAAATGCCTTAAGCCATTTTGGAAATATGGACATTAATTTATGAAAAAAATTAGAGAACCCTCCGCCCTGTTTGCAGAGTTAGAGCAAACAGCATTAAACAAAGAAGATTTTAATTATTGGTTTCAACGTAAAAACAGTACTTTATCTATGGTTAACATTAGAAATTTTTGTAGAAACATAGTTTTAGATTCAAAAATCAAATTTAAGCACCCTTGTGGCTATTTCAGAATTCCACAGCACGATTGATAGTCTAGGGAATGTCCTTTTTAACGACCAAAAATTTATTAAAGTTAGTTTTGGAGAAATCTACATGTATTTGTTTCAATGTTTCCTCTACCAATTTCCTTGCAGACTTAGAGCAAACAGCATTAATCAAAAAAGATTTGAAATTTTCTCAACTTAAAAATAGCATTCACGTAAACTATGGTAAACGTTTGAAATTTTTGTATAAACATAATTTTAAATTCTAAGATTCTAAGACAAGAATTAGGCCCCCGGTCGCCATGTCAAAAACTGGAAAATAAGTTGGAGCGCTTTCTCTGAAATTTCTAGTATCTTCGGTTTCCCTTATACCGTACCTCATTGTCCCTTATTAGGACACCCGGTATATATTTTTGAAATCACTGAGAAAAGTGATTGCGCCCTGGCAGGAAAAAATAAAAATAAAAGACTTGCTATTGTTTTTCAACTACCACACTGCAAATATTATATATATTTTATATTAAAAGTATTTTTTATTGCTTAGAATAATCTCCCCTCTCATTAGACACGCATGATGCACAATTTCTTCTTAACACCCGTTCTTCTTGACTTTTTAATTTAGTTCATATCCTAAGGAAATAAATAGTTTTCAAAGGCATTGCGGAGTCTATTTTTGAATCCTAGGTATGCAATACATAAAAGACACATTTATGCACTCGTATTTATTAGGGAAAAAACAACAATATGTTAAACATATTTTCCCAAAAAGCATTTTAAGTTAAATTACCTACTTACAATTACACAAAAGTTTTGCGACTACCTTGGAGGAACGTCATATTGCAACCAATTTTTGACGGCAACTGAGTTATCGTCGCCAAGATGTTCGATCGCTGACTAATTATTTCTATTATTAGTTTTTGGTAAAAATGTTCATAATTGTGTAAGCTGGCCGAATGACCTTATGTAGTCGTGGCCATTAGAAGTAAAGAAGAAAGAAAGAACCTTCCTTATGCTGGGCATTTTTATTTTATGACTACACTGTTTGCGTCGTATGGTTTATTGTTTCCTTTTGCTTCGGCAGCAAATTGTGCAATGTAATGAAAAGTAATACAATCAACTTTATTTAGTTTTAAAATGTAAAAAACCGTATTAATTTAATTGCACCTAGTTAGATTATTCCAGTCCAGGTCATCTAAGTAGTTTGACTCCTATTTCCATAATTTAGGATGTATAAAAAAAAAGTTAGATTGGAATAACCTGGAAAACATCAAGTTTTTCCTATTTTCTTTTAACTTTATCAAATAGATTTTTTTGGTATTCTCAAAGAGAATTTAATTTTAACAGGTTTTTGATGTACAAACTGAATAATCAATTCAAAATTGGTTAAAACTTATTCATAAAAATTGCACCCATATGATCATGACTTAAGGTACATTGTATAAAGTGACCTTTTAACTATCTCCAATTACATCCTTCGAAAGGGATCGGATAGTTATCGCGGTAACCTCCGCTTTTCGTTGCCTTTATGTCCATTTTCGAACCAATTAATCTGGACAAACACGAGTTTTATCTAGAGAGCGAACAAAGCGGTGTTTCGATTCAATTAACGAAACAGTTGAAGGGATCATAATAGTTTTTGTTTGAAGCTTTTAGCGATTTCAATTTCAATTTTCTTTAAAAATTAAATTGAGTTCGCTTCCCGTAGAATTGAATACGTTCATTTTATTTTGCAGGCTTCAAGCGTTGTTTACTCTTCTTTGCAGGTCAAGTAAATACAAATTGGCAGTATAACATTCTAAAGCTTGATTTATGAATACGTAAAATATACGATTTCGTTGCTTTATTAATTTTTAACACGATAAATTACGTTAAGTAGGTTTTCCAACAATTTCAATTACGTTAAATGGGAAATTTTAAACAGTTTTCAAAAAGTAGGGCAAAAAGCATTTTTGATGTCGTCTCTATCTAGAGATTTAGTTAGAAAATTGTTTTTTACTCCATGAAACCCATCTTATCTATAATAGTTTTGCGTTTTATTTTTGATACAAAATTACAAAAAAAATCGAAATTCTACTAAAACTACAGTAAAACATATTGCATAAGTACAAGGTGAGGTGATTGGACCTATTTATTTGAATAGTCGTTGCCATCTTGGTCTAGACAGTTAAATTGAATAGAAGTCAAAAAGAAGTATTTACAATGCTTAAAAATATTCTAGATTTGCTAAAATATAAATATTACGAAAACGCAATGCTATTTTGTCTAACTGAAGCTAATCGACCTTATAGTGAGATTGTTGTAAATAGTGCGACAGACTCACAAAGAAATGCAATAATGCCAAATACATGGGATCGCACTACCTATGTAATTAATTAAGATATATTACGTCAACGAAAAATCTGACTGGGGTCTAAACAACGATAAAATCATTATATTATACCAAAAACACCTAAACTCTATACAAGAAATCTTCTATCCAGCAGGGATATACTAGAGCATAACAGTTTATGTTTGCTAACAGTGGATTGTTTTGTGCATTTAAACGAAAAATTTAACATAAGTAATTTATTTAACATTACACACTGGGCAAATAGTCAGGGACAACAATTTGCTTCATACATAAAAAAGTTTTTAAAAATTATTTTCTTTGAATAAGCTTCTTGATTTTGTTCGTAGAATATCTTTTGTTAGATTTAGGCTATTACTAATTTCATTATGTCATAATCTGCAATGTGTTGGATCATAACATTGTGCCTTATGAAATTTTATTTAAAAAATTAGAACATCATAGTATAAACTTTTCGGAAGTTTTCTGAAAAATAGGTTTCAAAGGTTTCTTTTTTAACTAATGAACTTTTAAACACTAAAGAACTAAAACATAAAATCACTTGAGTCATTATATGATTTCTGATAAATGTTCCCACTTTAGATGACACGGTATCTGTTATTTCAAGAGGCAGCATTGAAACTTTTTTTGTTACTTCAAATATGCTTCCGATCTAGCTGAAAGATGATTTAGTATTAACAATCTTTTTTTAAACAAAGAGAAAACCAAAATTTTAAAAATACCAACTAACTCGAGGTAGGTAACAATGTTAATCCATTGTGTAGACGACAAATTGTCGTTATCAATTTATCCCGTCGTATATTTTTAATAAGAAGATTTCCATGTGAAATAGACTTTTACACCTGTTAAACGTTTTATTTTGCACTACTACACTCAAAAATTTCCTATGCCGGTCAATTGCAAAACACAATTTTTAAATTACACAAGAGAGCGATTAGCCTTCCCAGTATCACAAGGACGTCCGTAAAAGATCCTCGAGACATCTGACAGGACACAGCGTATGTTCTAGTGATATACTGTTTCAGCCAAGGGACATCCTTAAGACGTCTCAAGGATACGATGTAGTAACATATCAGATACGTATGTTGGTAGGATGTTTGTTAGGACATACTAAGGAATCCAGTTATACTGGTTGAGACGTCGTTAGTATATCCAACTGTGAGGATAGAGAATCTTGGGTATGGTTGGTGAAATCATCACTGGAATGGCAGGCGATATTTGAAATGCACAAGTTTTTTGCAATTATTATTTAATCATTAATTTTGCTTTTGATGGTAAAAGTGAAGGACCGCCGATTGATACCATTAATAAAACACATTTTATATAGATTTTTTCTATTGTAGATATGAAAAAATGGTAGGTATATAATATAGCAAAAATATAGAAAAATCTAACCTAAAATATCTTAAATATAGAGTAATATACTATATCTTGAACTAAACTCTAACACAATAGCTAATATGTGACAGGTTTTCTGTCATTCTTTGGTGAAAGTAGCTCTCTTCAGCCAAGCAGCTATTGAATTCTCACATTCTTTTGATGTTTACGATGTGTTTGCCTTCTTATCCGCATCTGAAAATATTTTAGTTTTGAGAAAGACAGGTTTTATATATCTGTACTTTATAAAAAAAAACAAAAAAAACGAGACTGTTACCTTAAATGTTTAAAAAACAGATTTAAAAAATCGCTACATCTGCATTTTACGTAAAGTCTTTTTTAAGAAAAAATATACTAACTATACTATATAATTAAAAATATAATTTTGTTCAGGGTGATTTTCTTTAACATTGCTTGCTTACTTAAATAAAAAATTAGTTTTTTATGCCTAAATTTAACTGCTCAAAAAATATGACGAGAAAGTGGATTTAATTTTTGTTTTCAAAAACAAAGCAATGAGATACGAAAAGAAGTCTAGAATCAAAAAAGATATGTAATCTAAAACGTATAATATAATTATATAGGTTACAAAAAAGTCAGTTTTACCTTAACTCGGTCCAGCAATCACTCCTTAAAAAAGTATCAACTAAGCCATCGCCATAATATATATTTCATTAAATTATATTTCTTATACTTTATTTATATTACAATTACGTCCTATTTATTTTTAAAAAACAAAATATCTACTTACCAAATGTTAATTTGGCCAATTTTAATTTTAAAAATTTCTCCTTTTACTTAATGCCAAACCAACTAAATTTCATTGCTAGTTCATTTGAAATCAACGGGGTCAGAGCTTGGTTTACAAACTCATAACTGCTGCCGCCGCCTGATTTGGCTATCTCATTGAACTAGCAAAATAATAAAAAACAAGACATGATGTTGGTAGACTACATAATAATGGTTAGTTCAGGTTAGAATTTATCAAATCTTATGTTATATATTCCCATAAAGCTTTACTTACATGATTTATTAGTTATTCATTAATAATAATACCACAAAAAATAACTGAAATGAAAATGCTGAAAGCAGTAAGCATAGCACGCAAAATACTCAAAATATATGCCAAGTGGCCGTATACCGTATACCATCAACAAAAAAAAAGGCTGAAAAGATGGCGGACGACGAGACGCAGGAGAAGCCGACGAGACGGAGGAGAAGCCGACGAGACTCTAGCGAGTCCGGCACGGCACGACCGCGAGTAGTTGCGTCATTGGTTGCAGTCGAACGTGTTGTCAAATGGGATCTTATAAATAAATATATTATTTTTACGTTTTTGTAACATTTTTACTCAGATGAATCCGTATTTTCTAAGGTATTTTTATTAAAAAAGCGTTTCTTGTCTCGTTCGTGTCCAAAAATAATAAAAACAAGTTTGATTCCGTTTTCTTAGAGCTTGCCAACACTGACGTCGATGTAGATGTACACAAAAACGTTGCCAATAAAAACCACAAATCTAAAAAAACTAAGTATTTTCCTTCTTAGTTGTTCAAAATTTAACTTTTTAGGTTTCATTTTGTTTTACGGTTTTCCACTTTTTCCCTTATTTCTATTCTAATGTTCCCATTATAGCATAAGAGGATATCCTCAGGCCATATATTTACGGGATATCTGTGGTATATAGTGTACAGTAAATTCGCAAGCTATCTATGCAGAGGATATCCCTAGGATGTACAGTATATTTGCTAAAGTATACCTAAGAACATCCTCGACACGTCCCGGTGCATGTGACTTAAATGAGACATTGACCGGATGTATTGGGGATATTGTTTGCTACCTGGAAAGTCTATTTTTAATTTTTTGAAATACACTCTGTATAATAGGTTTAGCTTTAATTAAAAAAAAGAAAGGAATGAATGAATATCTAGGTGCTGATTTTTTTTATTAGGTTCAGGAATACCATGAGTTTTTTTTTTCGACGACAAACGCTTACCTGCTGTTTTTTTTTATTATTGTACTTATGTTTAGTATCCTAATATTTTTGTGTTGCTATGTGTATTTGTGTGTGTGTTTATCTTTAATTGGTTTTACATTTACATTCTTTTGACTTGGTATAATGTACCTTGTACAAAAATAGTTAATAAATTTATTCTATTCTGTTGTAACAATTGAATGAGATGAGTAAATGGTACAGAGTACAAATGAATGTATGTTGTATTATAAATATTATAGATGTAAATAATAACTTAAATGGACTGAAATGATACCTCAACAGATTAGTGAAAACCGCGTCTCGATAATGCCTAACCTAAAATATCGAAGAAAGAGAATTTAATTTGATTAGATTTTCAAAAGACTGGTAATTGCAATGATACAGTTTCATGATTTTATAATAATTAAATACCAAAAGTTTTACTGGTTCAAAAGATTAATAAAAAAGCGTGTACTGTAGTGTAATTAGTACCTGTTAGAATGCTTTTTATTAATGATAAACATATGGATATGATTGCCGTTTGTCTTCAGTGACAAATTTGCGTTATGATCGAAGCTTTAGAATCTAGTTGTAGACAAACTCAGCTAAAACAACTCCGCTTCCTTATCAGCTATCACTGCTTATGGTTGCTAACGACAACTAAAGTTTAATTAAATCAATAAAAAAATCCTTGGTTTAATGAAATTAGTTTTAAGCATATTTGTAAAGGATCTCTTTATACTTACCTTTAGTAGAGCATTGCGAGCATGTCAAAATAACAGCAACAGATTGAACTATATTATACTCCTATACAAATAACTCGTGAAAGTGGGCCGGGAGGCGTCACCGCACCACTAGCTAACCCGGCGCAAATAAAGTGCCACCATCTTAGGTTATGTCCTTCTTCGATTTACCTCTCTATTGTTTGTACCACGTTGGTGGCTATGACTCGTAATAAAGTATTGCAAATTATTTATTTGAGAGCGAGCGCGTGTGGTCAGTGATGTCAGCTGCTTGATTAGAAAAAACATTCATGCGTTACTGGCAAATAAATCGGGTTATTGCAATACTCTTAGACAGAAATATCCATTTAAAATCAAAATTGTTTTTATATTACTTTTTTTATTTAATAGCTAGATGGTTTGAACACATAATGGCAACGATATTAAAGGTTTCGGGCTCTACTAGCCCTAGGATCTTTTCAGAAAATTTATATGAAAAAAGTTGACGCAGAGAATTTGTGAAAATTAATTTTAAGTTCTTGTAATAGCTAGGTAACAAAATTGCTATGTTCGGAAAAAAAATTCCTTTTCCTGAAAATTATATTGTTTTGGATTTAATATATCTCCTTGTCAAAAAATTATGGTTTCATTAGTGTCAACCGAATCCTCGACGTTTCGGCAATAGGCGAATGCCTACAGCCAAGGTTGCTCATCCTACCTATTTCAAACGAAGAAGATACCTATTTTGGTTGTCTCTGCCTTTTAGTTTTTATCTGGTTTCAAGTTTGTGGTTGTTAGTATATGTGATTATCAAAATAATGACTACAAGAGAGAGTGGTACATCCAGGATATTACGTTCCATGATTACACCCGAACAGAAGCACTTGGAAGAGGTATTGTGAAAACTCCCCAAGTTTTTTTTAAACTGAAGTGCTATCAATATTAATTTGGCGCCAATTGGGTACTGTGATTTTAGGAACGAAAAAAACAAGAAGTGGAGGCAAAACTTAACAGACCTTTTCTAAAATACGATGGAAAAGTCACATACAATACCACTTTTAATGACTGTGCCTATACCTGTGACAATTTGCTGTAAGTTTTAAGTTTGTATTTACCTTTATATGTAAAAAAACTACGGTATACCAAACATGAGATATTTGCTCCTATTGGGAGCGAAATACACAAAAGCCCTAAGATCACCCTGTCTGTTTATTAGGAATATTTTTTTAGAAATTGGCTTAATCAGTCTGAACATCAAGAATGTGTGGTGGGGTTTGATATGGAATGGCCCTTCAGTTTCAAGATGGGAGCAGGAAAAACCGCTTTGTTACAGATAAGTCCTGATTTGGAAAGATGCCACCTTTTACATTTATCCAGTATGACAAAATTGCCAAAAGCTCTGGTTGAACTATTACACCATCCAAAATTAAGGCTAACCGGAGTTAATATTAAGAAGTAAGTGTTATTTATTTATAAAATCATTTCGAAAACTTCAAACCTTCTTTTTTAGTGACATTAGAAAACTTTGCAGAGATTTTAAAGAATTTGATGCTAACAAACTTTTACCCAACTGTATTGATTTAGGTGTGCTTGCCAGTACAATATTACCTGTAACTGGACGGTGGAGTATGGAAAAGCTAGTAGATTACATTGTAAGTGTTCGATATACTAATTACATTTATTAATACAGTGAAGTCACTATACAACGTGGACAATATCTAGACATAATTTTTACAAAAATTCTTTTTTGACCTTAAAATACATCGTTTACCCTTTTAACAATACATTAAAAAATATCCTGTCCAACTTTGTCAGATTTATCTCAAATTCTAAATATCTGAAATCAGTTCCACAAAAACAAGCATAAAAATAAGTTTCTCTTCTACAAACATTTTTCTCTATATAAACACTCAAGAAGTATGTTGCGGAAATAGCAGAATATTCTTTAGAATAACTTTTCCGTTGCAGCAAAATTTTAGGTAACTTTATATTTTACCTAAGCTAAGGCTAACCTAACCTTACCTAACTTTTAACATTTAATTAGTACAGGATGCCCTAATCACAAATAACAAAAATGTTGATGTCAGCAGATACATATACATAACACATAACACACACAAGTAGAGCGGAAATTGGTAGGAATAATTTTATTTAAAAACTGATATTATTAAGAACCTAAAATAGTTTTAAAATTAATAACTTATAGTTGATGGAAAACATTGTGTTTTTTCTTAAATTAAGTTAAGAACAATAGGGGTAGTCCCCCTCGTATTAAAAATGTGTTTTTATAATAGGAATAGTTCCTTACTAATTGATTGTTTTATCTATTTTCGTTTTTAAGATAAAAAACATACATAATTTTTCAGCCATTTTTGTAGCGCGATATCTCCCTAATGTTGACTTTTGACAAATGTTTATATAACAAAGTTAGTTATTTCAGATAAGCTATCACCACCTTAAGTTTTTAGCGTTTTGAAATACCCTGTATGGATGTAGTAAATATATTAGGTGGTCCTAATTGTAATGGAGAAACTTTAATAGCGGATACTGCAAATAAAAATAAGTAAAAAGTTACAGTAGAGATACAGGATGTTGTGCTATTGCGAAAAAAATTGTGGTATACCAATTAGGTGCACTTGCAAGTAAAATAAAAGTTAAAGAGAGAGTTTTTGTTTAGAAATGATTAATGCATCTAAATTGATTAATAAAATTGGGATAAATCATTGAACTATGAAATCATTAAACGGTGCCGCAAACTTCTGTGGGTAAAGAAAAACAAATTTGTTTTTCAGTGACAATATTATTTACCAAGTGCGAAAACAAAATTTATAAGAGATTTTAAAAAATAGGAACAAATGATTTTTTTCGCAATATTTCAACACGGAAATGAAGCATTTTAGGACATAACTTTATATGACCTTCTTTACTTATTCTTATCTAAATATATTGTAATAGCTTCTATATTATAATTCAGACCAACCTTCAAAAAGCAGGGTGACTTTTAAGTTTTATCAAAAAGTATTTATTTATTCATCAAAATTAGTGTCCCCTTCAAAGTAATGCCTCCCAGATAATATACTTGGGTTAATGTGTTTTCCAATCGTCGAAGCACTTCTAGTTAGCACTTTCTGGTTTAGCCTTGATTTCTTCCAGCGATTTTTTTCTTTATGTCCTCAATCGTGCCAAACCTCCTTACTTTCATGAGTTTCTTGAGTTTTGGGAACAAGAAAAAGTCACAGCTATCTATGCAGTCACTGTATATCCGGTGAGTATGGTGGCTGAGGCATGATTGTGGTTTTGTTTTTGGGCTAAACGTTAGACACAAGCAACCATGAGTGACCAGGTGCATTATCATGATGCAGAATCCATGAATTGTTTTCCCGTAATTCCGGACGTTTCTTTCGTATTACTTCTCGCAAACGGCGCATAACTTCAAGGTAATACTTTTGTTGATCTTACGACCTTGTGGTAAGAACTGTTGATGTACGATAATCAAAGAAAACAGTAAGCAAAACCTTGACGTTTGATCGAACTTGACGTGTTTTTTTCGGTCTTGGCGATGCTGAATTTTTCCATTACGACGACTGGACTTTGGTTTCGACGTCATAACCATATACCCATGATTCGTCACCAGTTATGACTCTTTTGAGCATATCAAGACGGTCCTTTTGTTTAAAATTAGGCCGTTTCGGAACAAATTTTGCTGCCACACGTTTCATGCCCAAAAGTTGTGAAAACATTGCATGGCACGAGCCAATAGAGATGCCAACGTCTTCAGTTACTTTTCTAATAGTGATTCCACTATTTTTCGACACCATTTGTTTCACTTCTTCAACGCTTCCATCAATTATTGGAGCATCCAGAGCGAGGTTCGTCATTGGTGTCTCCTCGGCCATTTTGGAACAGTTTGTACCACTCATCATTTTTTTTTTGGGCAAAGTAGATTCGCAATATGCTGTTTTCAGCATTTCAAGTGTTTTGTAGTACTGTATTCCATTTTTTTACACAAAATTTTATGCAAATTCTTGTTCCTTTTTTTTTTTGGCTGCAGAATATCGCCGAGCACACAAAACACGTCTAACGCTTCGGTCTGACAAAAAAAGTAAACGTGCAAATTGGCTGAAACGTACGTAGTCCGCCCAATTACAAAAGTCAACTTATTTTTTGAACACACAAGTCCCTGATAATAAAAAGACATCAGAAAATGTTGTAATTATAAATATACTTTGACTTTATAATTTATAATTGAAATAACTCATTTTTATATAGATTGAATACTTTTCAGCTCAAAATGAGAATTGATAAGAACAAAAAGATTAGAATGAGTAAGTGGCATATTGTTCCCTTAAGCTGCCATCAACAAAATTATGCAGCCATTGATGGATATGTAAGTTAAATTTTTATAATTTTTCATCTTGAATTTAAAACAAATTATTTTCAGGCATCATTGTTACTTTATCAGGAACTAATTAAACTAAAGTCATCAGATGAAAACATAAATATATTGAATATTTCTTAATAATTTGCATATTCAATTTTAATATTTTTATACATTTGCATGTTATATATTTTGTATCTTATATATCGATGTTTTATTAACTTATAATCAAGCCCATGAAACTGAAGTCTTTTTTATTTCCAAAAAATGTCCAAATTGGTCAACATGCAATAATCATGTTTATGAATGAAGTGTATAGAATTTATTCTAGTTAGAATGCTCTAACTAGTTCTCTGTGTCAGTTGTAGATTTTAATCTGGATCAAATCTGCGCCTTAAAGTCTATAGTACACACATATACCTTGGGCGCACTGTATATTTTCTAGAAATGCGAGATATTAATCACTAAAATCACCTGGTACATATATAGTGGTTAAATCCTTTTTCCGGGTAAGGCGCTTTATCAATGTCGAATATATTATCGTACCAAAACGGTGCCGGTTGTTTCGTTCAATAATTCATACGTGGATGCATGCACTGTTTCCATATATTTCCTCGTTACAAAACTGCTTAGTGTTTAACTGATTCTGGTTTGTTTCTTAATAGTTATGCGGCACGATATGAGCCTCAAAGTTTCGGGTTCAACCGTCTCGTATTTCAAGTCTCTCGCAACTTTTGACGGGCTCGCAAACCTAACCAACAACGCTGACGTCTCGTGTGGCGCTTTTCTGTTCTCGTTGGTTTCGCAATTTGTCCGTGCCATTCTTCTAATTATCGCAATAGTCACGCATGATACCAGTTCTTAACCATACTGGGGAACACTATAGGCCAGTCTACATTAAGCTAGTAGAATGGCAAAGCAAGTGGATACTTTGCTGACATTACTCAAGCAACGAAGGTCATATCAATGAGGCTATGCTTGGTTTGAATTGAATTGGACATTCACAGTCATCATTAAACGCCAAATGCTAAATAAAATCACATGATAAATAATCGGGAAGTTAATGAATTTAGTCCATTATATTAGGAGTTATGAACAATTAAATTCTAATTGAGATTTTTTGTTGTTGACGTTTATTTTAGTTTTGTCTGCTTATTTAGTTCCACAACCAACAGAAAAAGCAAATAAAAATTGACTTAGCCGCTAAAAACAAAGTACCCTAATAATTTCACGAATAATCACGTTTTCTGAAATAGTTGGATTCAGATAGATGTATTCAAGACGAAGTCAATGATTGAGCAGCAATTAATAATTTAATAACAATTTCCCCGCAGGGATGTTACATAACTTGTAAATGAATGGAAATACCAGGAAACATTCATGATTTATTTTTTTAAAGATTTTTGAATAAGCAGTTTTGACCCCATAATTCATTTATATGAGCAGACCAATGCAGTCTCCTTTCCAAATGTATTCCCAGAATTTTCACACTATTTACAACATTAGCATCTTTACTGAGACGAAAGATAATTTTTAGGTCTTTTTCTTCATGTACTTATAGCCAAAAGTAGAGGTCCTAAACCGAGTGTTGAGGTGAGCCTGTCGTACATACCTATATAAGTTCTATAGGATCGAGTTTGTAAAAATATGACAGTGTGTTCAGCACATGTTAGTTCCTTCTTTATCAAATTATCTTAAAATTCAATATTTTCAGTTGTTAAGCAGCCGATAATTTCTCGTTTTCCTCAGCATGAAGTTGTAGTCTTGTCTATGCGCCGTGCGATTATGGCTTGTTTTTATCCATAGCTAGTACTGAATCACCCGGAAGATATTTTACCCCAATTTTTCGATGTGAATGTTTATTAGCCTGTTCCCTTTTGCCGAAGGAATCTTCCTAACCACGAATCAATGAAAATTTGGCGAACACCGGTGTGGAGTGTGGAGTCTTGTGTTTTGTTTACCAAAGATTCCTCAATTTATCTTAACAGAGGCGAAGCAGTATTTGTTCAACTGAATGTACTTTTCAAGAGTTTTTAGCTGTTAATCTCAGAGAATCTCAAAGGAGAATTAATCACCCAGTGATTACGATCCTTACCAATTGAGAAAACTGACATGGAAGGTCTCACTCAAATTCTTCTGTCCTTTATTTTCCCTGTTGTCCCGGCTTTAATTATCGAATTTCGGCGCTTAGCATTTTAGTGGATAAAACGTCCAACTTCGCTTTCGTAAACAAACAATAATCGGCGTCGCGTCGGGTCCGTAAACACGGAATCACAAGCGTTATCAAGCGGATTCGGCGGCAAATTTGAATAATTTTGTTTTAGTGTGACGTCGCACAATCAAAATGTAAATCGTTCTCGGAATATTCGTGCGGGGTTGTCTCCGGTGATGGAGTTTTATGATATAAATGGAAATAAATGTCGCATTAATATCGTCTCCGGAACTTATAGGATGTTAATAAAACATATTTTCGTAGCTTTCCTAGACGCTTTATCCGTGTCGATATCCGGCGAAGGACGTTGTCAACCTTCGAATAATTTCGCAATTATTAAACAATACATTCTTAACGACTTTTAAGATTCCAGTACACTATACAGCATGTTCTCTGATGGTGTGTCGTTACTAAAAGGGAGAATGTTCTTTTGGGATAAAGAGTGGTAATTTTTAAACCAGCAAAATATGAAATGATGTTATGCTATATTGCTTATTGCGAGAGAGTAATTAATTATTAATCAACAGTAAAACTTAGTGGCCTTAGCATAGGCGCGGTATTGTATCGTATGATCATAGGAAGGGTCCAGAGGATGGCCTTAGAGCTTAAAATTAAAATTATAATCACTTTCGGGCAGTTGGTCGCAAAGATCGTTCTAGTGTTTCTCAATTTGTTGCTGCGAAGCCGATTAGGAAAAATTATTCGAATATGACTGGACAATCAGCAATATATCGACTTATGCACGAGGAGAAAATCGGCCCTATCAGGTCACTAAAGGGAAGCGCAGTAGGAAAATATACAGTATGTGAGCAACGAATTTCGATCGACAGTCGTTGCTTTAATAAGTGGCAATATTTTCAAAACGATCCTACTTCTCGTTTGCCACATAAGTCTAACCCGCCATTCACCGCCAATCAGCCTTAGAAAACTATGCAGAGTTATTCACGCCCCGACCCGAAATATTGTGGCTGAAATTCAAGGTTTTCATGAAGTTTTACTTTTGGGATATGTGGAGTTGTGTTATTCTGTGCGCAGGACACATAATGACAAAGTTGCTTCTAACAACATGATGTAATATTTCACCAAATACTCTTATTTTGAAAGAACGTCAAAATTTCGTGCTATGTTTTCCAAATATTTATTTGGTGTTAGTCCGCCTTTATATGTGGTAATCAAAGTCATCTCAAACAAGGGAGATACTGCTAACTTTGCTGTTCGTACTTCCTTGTACTTACCGGCTGAAATGTAATTTTAAAGCATCATCTGCATCTGTAAGGCCTTAATTAGATTCCACTTTTTAAAAATTTTGTATATTCATTATTTCATTGTAAAACAAATATTTGTTTTGCCTTTAATAATTTTTTTCATTTTATTTATATTTAGCTAACTAAAGAACGGCAAACTATAAAACTATTGTCCCTTTATTGTCGTTCTTGATTTTTTTTATCTTTATTGCGTAATATAAGCAAGATTTGATTTTTTTGAAAATATACACCACGCTTATTTAGCTTTCCACTTCATGCTAAATATTCTCGAAGTTAACGTACTTTTGCAACTAACCTCAAACTAAGCAAACTAACCACCCTATATTACCTCGAAGTAATGGGGAGTTTAGAACGAGAAAAAATTCTAAAACGACATCCGCCTTTTGCAAAAAAGGTATTTGCGTTCAAATATTATCTATCTCCTTCAAATTTTGTTCGCATCCAATGCAAATAGCGCTAAAGTCTCCCAAACGACTTTCGGAAAACGAGAGGGTGAAATACTTCGGCGCGATAACAGGATCCCTTGCTCGCCGAATTCCTTCTATACGGATTTGCTTATTTTTTTATCCCCAAAAGGCAGCCATTCGTTGGGTTAACCTGAACTACGATCGCCCCGCTCCATGACTATAGATATTGAACTTTTAGTTTGTTTATTGACAGTTTTTATTTTATAATTTTTCAATATAATTACTATAAAACTATTTATAAATCTTCTAAATTCCTCCTACGTGGCTCGTGCATAAATCAAACTTGCGGACGCTTTGAAAATCATCCTGTTGACTTTTTCAAATGTTTTTTTTAGTTTTCCGCTTTTTTTGCTATAAAACTTAGTGTAAACGAATCGTAAACAAAAAAATTAGCATTTAGATCTATTTCAGATTTACAACATTTAGACTAGTAGTAGAACGACTTTTTCTTTTTTATCATTATCATTTTAATCCATCTGCTTTGATCATGCCGTTCTATCTCTTGATGGAACCTTTTCTCATGTCCCCCGCGTAAGTCTCAATTCATTTTTATTAACATGAGTTACCTCACCATCCAAAAAGCTAGAATGTGAAGTGCTATTTCTTCATACAGAAACGTATTTTCATTTTCCCGGAGCTTAGTTAATTTATATTGTTGTAACGAACATTTTTGAAAATAAAACAAAATTTTGAAAAAAGGGAACACTCTGAAATTGCGAGAAGTGCTCCGCAAGAGTTTTTTTTGCATTTTCAACTAGTTTGTTTTTACACAATAACATTTTCTCTATCGAGATTCCACAAGAAAAAGTATCATCTTCGGGGAATACCAATTGGCACTTACCTAGTGGTCCCTGTATACCTAGTCCCTAAAAGTATTAATATTAATTGACTTGACTGAAACTGTCTCAGTTTTGTCTGGGACCAAAAGCCGGACTTTTGTTATTGTTATTCTAATAGGTCAAATTTTTTCCTTCGTATACATTATACAAAAGAGACTCAACAAAAATGCAACTTAATAAAATAAATACAAGATAGTGGAATACCAAAAAATACGCTTAAAATATTATAATGCACTGATATCTGTCAAAGAATCAGTAATATTACCACAACAGAGAACTACAATTGTTTTCAATTGTTTTGTGTTTTTGTCTTTCAACAGGCAGGTTTCTCTATATTTTTTAAAGACATTTGGTTTATATTATTAAGAATAGGAATATTTTTAAAGTTTTTTTTCCATTTAAAGACCTTATTTATTATTATAAAAGAATTTATGTATTATTGGGAACGAATTATCAATTA